TTCCAGTGTTCCCATGCTGAATCAGATCACTTGTGATTTCTACTAAATCCAGACAAAAGCAATTTTTTACAGTTTATCATCGCAATATTGATTCTGTCATATTTTCTATGGTAGAAGATTGATGTGGATGTTGAAAACTGCTAAAGGGAGTTCAAGATTATGTTATATTCCAGGGAGTGGTTTATAATATAGAGTGAAAAATAACATTTTGTATTGCAGTAAATTTAAAAACTTACCTTGTATTATGAAGAGGGAAGTGATCCATATAAACGTGTATTTATAGAGAAAGAGTTCTTTTGATTAATTTAAAACATGATAAATTACATAACATGGCACAGACAATCGGGGAGAAATACTAAAAAGAAGTTGAATTAAATGAATTTGAAAATAATAGCATTAAAATGATGAGCAGATGAGGATATTATAGCAGTTCATACACTGTCTACTGCTAAATACAGATGAATATCAAAAATTCTATAGAAACCTTGACTCCAATCAACACAATTTTCCATTCAGAGATATAAAATTACTTAAAAGACTTAAATATTGTTTTCAACCATTATTCATCTTTCATCTTTTCCTGCAATAATTGTAGCTATAAATGTCACCACTTTAAAAAATTCTTACAGGGCCTGTTGCACACACACTTCTAATATTGTCTTTTTAATTATCATATTCTGTAGGCATTGAATAAATACATATATCATTAAGATGCAGCTACTTTAATATTTCTACTGTATTAAGATAAGAGTATCCTGTATCTTGTTTAACTTCCTACAATTTATCACAGTCTTGCTAAAATTGTTTTAAAAAGCAACCCTCCAAAGGAAAACAAATAAAAATAGCTCAAAGTTAATACTGGAGAGAGCATAGGAAACGAACTCTTCACTGATTTAAATTTTTGGTTAGATAACAGCTATTGCACAACTTTGGTGTATGAAAATGTTTATTTCCATGGAAATATAAGTCAGGAAAAAAATTCTTTATCTGGTGCAATTGGAAAAGAAAATTTCTAACAGTGTTTAGAAATTTTCTCATTAGCTCCACAGCTATGAAGATGGCTTCCACCACTGAAATTGGCTTCCCAGTCTATGGGTTTTGTCTTTCCCTAAACCCTTTTTGTTTGCTTTGTGGGTAATATTCAAGGTGATCCTTTTTTCTTATAAGCATTCTTATCCTGAAAGTATATATTGCAAATACTTAGCCCCATATACATCCTGTGTATTTTTCAGCACTTTAAGGCCCAAAGAGTGCAATCATATTTATGGTTGATGAAGAAAGATAACCTCATTAGGAGGGATGCGTGAGCAGCCCACAGGAACAACCTTACCTGACTACACTCCTAAACTGAGCATTTTAGTTCTATTTGAAATCAGATGAGAAAAAAATTGGCCTTAGTGTGCTAAATACAATAAGGAATGTTCTCAGGAAGTTAGGGTGTGAAGCTCAACATAAACATCTCCCATTCTTCTGCTGGCCAACCTGATCTCCTTCTGATTTAGAAAATCATAGAATATACTGAGTTGGAAGGGACAAACACAGATCCTCAAAGTCTGACTCCTGACTCCCCAAGAATCACACTATATGTGTTGTCCAAATGCTTCTGGAACTCTGGAAGGATTGCTATTGGGACCACTTCCCTGTGTTCCAGCATCCAACCATTCTCTGGGTGAAGAGCCTTTTCCTAATATCCAAACTAATTCGCTCCTGACACAGCTTCATGCTATTACACATTTCCATGCCATTAATGCATTCATGCAAATGAGGATTTCTATCTTAAAGCTCTTTCAAGTTTATTTAATTATATTTAAAAATTATATTTAAAATTATATTAAAAAATATATTAAAAAATTAAAGCCACGCGTGAGAAAGAAGTTATTTTAACCTTAAAACATGGTAGAACCTTAGCTAAGAATTTCTTAGTTTTAAACAGGAATGCACAGTACATTAAAGGCATAAAATTTTCTTTCAGAAAATTTACCAGGATTATATCAATGCAATGAATGATGAACACAAAACATTGTTTGAAAGGTCCCAGTCATCATCTGGCTCCAAGATCAAATCTCTCTTGCTAGAAAAATAATGAATTAGAACAGTTTCTTGTCCACAAACCCTCTCAGAAGACCGAGTACATGTGGTGCCTTTAAACTGCACAATGCTGATGGAATGACAGATCTTGAAAGCCCATCTGCCCCAGTATTTCAGCTCCTGACAATTTTGTTTTGTGGGGGTCTATTCATAAATTTTTATTTGCTGACACTTTTCATCATAAATGTTTAAAAGTAAAAGTGCATATCATTTTCCCTTAAAAAAAGCCTGATCGAAATCTAACTGAAGTCAACGGGAGCTTTTCTTCCTCTGACATCAATAGGCTTTGGATCAGATCCATACAATGCAATTTAGTACAGCAGTTAAACATGTGCTAAAGTTCCATGGACTACAGAGGGGCTTTAGTCATATTTTCGACAAGCGCCCTCAATATCGAGCTGTCGTGGGAAGAGAGCATTTGTTTGGTGGTTTTGGGAAGGAAGGATGAAGGCAAGAAGTAGAGGATAATTGAAGTTGATTCAGGATCATAAAAATTTAAAGTACAAACTAGTAAGTTTCTTACAGTGTTCCCTAAAACTGAGAGGATCACCGACATAATTTGGCCAATAAGAAAGTTTCTAAACTGGAGAAACATTTTTGCTAAAGACCTGTTTCTCTTAAAAAAGTAGTGTTCTGGAAGTGATATTTTCTTCTGTGCCCACCTAACATGTCCAGGTTCTTATGGTGTAGAATACGAACTGTCAGCCTCAGTAAATGTCTGGAACAGGGCCTGACAGAGTAAACATGTACTAGAACACTAGAATTGGATGTTTCTATGTACAACACAACCCTTCACGTCCAAGTAGACATGTGGGACTGAAAATACACAAAATTCCTATAAGTGCATTAAAAATCATCTAAGTAGATCGTAAAGGTATCATCCTTAAAATCTCTTTTGTGATGATCTGAGAGCTGTCAGAAGTTTTTTGCAGCCAGCAGTTTCCTGGTCATGTAAGCAACTCTTTAGAGCAAAATCAGGAAATGTGCATGAATAATAATTATACAGTAGGTGTCAGGGCCCAAACTGAGGATCCCCAAGAGTCACAGTTGCAACATCAGGCAGAGTGGGAACTGGGTACAGTCAGTCCCTGGACAGAGTTGAATATCCCTTCTGATTATCCAACATATCGACGTAGGTGCTCAAATGGCCTTCTCAGTAGAAAACATTGATGCTGAACTCTGTGTTTCTACTACATCATTTAACTTGTGCTGAAGAGAATTTTCAACCTTCCCTGGCACGTGTGCATATTGCAGATCTACCTTCTCATCTTCTATGATATTCCACTGGTCACTTTGTTTATTCACTTCAGGAATTCAAGTTCTTTGGGCTTTGGACCTTGCTCTTTCACTGCATGGGTTTATAATGTTGAGTGATATATTTGTAGTGTATGTGCAAAAGGAAATTGCTGCTGTTTAGAGATCATAAACAACTGCATAAGACAGTTATGCGGAAAAGTAAAATGTTGAAATACACAGCAAAGAGTGGTTGTTTTGAAGTATCTAATAAACTGGTGTTTATGAAAGGTAAAACTCAAGAAATTTAATTCTGCCTCTTTCTCTTAGTATTTTAATTAAAAAAATCTCAATCTGTACCTGGAAATCCCAAGCAAGAAAAAAAAATCAGCTTTTCTACAGAAAACTTTAAAGTAGACTGGGAAAAAAAAGTACTAACCTTTTATGAACTCTTTAAAAAAGGAAAGATTAAAAAATATGTGATCAATAACAAAACAGATCTTCTGTGAGTCTTGCATCTCTTCTGCCTTTAAGACAAAGGCACATTAATGAGCCCACAAGCATGAACAAAAATACTATGGGTTATATTTCCCTTCCATTTATACTATGAAAAATTAAAGCAGGGTATCTGACTTTGAGTTAGTTCCTTCTATGCAAAACCTGAAAATGGAACTTTAAAAATTGCTTTTATCTCCAGTACAGTCCCTACTTTTTATTTTTGGCGGGGTTTTTTGTAGGTTGTTTTTTTGGTTGGTTGGTTGGTTGGTTTGTTGGTGTTTTGTTTTTTTTTTCCCCAAAATCATCAGATCTTAAATCCAATGCAAAGAGACAATCCAGACACAGTAAGAAAAGACTACTCTCCGGAAAGATTGAGTCACTGGAAATTGGAAACCTAATTCCTACTGAAGGGGAAAAAAAGGCTTTTGACAGCTTATTAGTTCCAAGAAAAGGTATCAAGGGTCACCAACTCTTCCTGTTCTGCTAAAATATTTATGAGATAGTTCTGGAGAGATGTGCTTATATGATAACTTTTTTGGATTATTCCTGAAGGCACCTATGGCAAAGGACCTTTTTTGCCCTGTCGTTGTTTAACCCCAGCTGACAGTTCAGCCCCACAAGATGCTCACTCGAGTTCCTGCTGGTGAGTTTGGAGACAGAATTGGAAGGGTGAAAGTGAGAAAACTCGTGAGTTGAGATATGGACAGTTTCATGGGTAAGGCAAAGTCTCACTCAAGCAAAGCAAAACGAGGAATTCATTCCCCACTTCCCATGGGCAGACACGTTTTCATCCATGCCCAGGAGAGCAGGGCTCCATCAAATGTAACCATGAGCTGGGGAGGCAAATGCCATCACTCCAAATACCCTCCCTGCCCTTCTTCTCCCAGATTTACATGCCAATCATGATGTCATCTGATCTGGGATATCTCTTGGGTGAGTTGGAATTGGTTGTCCTGGCTGTGTCCCCTCCCAACTCCTGATGTACCTCAACCACTTCATTGGTGGGGTGGGGTGAGGAGCAGAACAGGCCTTGACTCTGTGTAAGCTCTGATCAGCAATAACAAAAACATCCCTGTGTTATCAACACCATTTTCAGCACAAATCCTAAACACAGCCCCACACAAGCTACTGTGGAGAAAATTAACTCCACATCAGTCAAAACCAGCACAGCCTCTACCTACCCCTAGATCTAATGAACCACTGGGAATGTCACTTTGCCTTCCAGTGTCCTCAATCTCCAGTGGTCCAAATACAGAGTGGGATGTTTGGGATTTTTCACCAGCTTTATCACGAAGTTTGGAAATGCTGTGCTCTCTCCCAGGCCTTTCCAAACAGAATCTTTGTTATCCATGCAGCCTGAAATTAAAAGAAGGAATAATTCTTTCAGATCATGATGAAGGCTGTTGATGGAAAGAAAAATACGAGAATAAACCATTCATACAGAGGGCTATGTGGCATCCTGACACAGCCTTCTACTTCAAAAGTAATAAATATTCATTAACCATTAGTAAAATGCCTTCACAATCTAGTAGGCTTTTTTTTTCTTCTTGCAAAGCTACAGTAAAAGGAGTCAGAATGTAATTTAGCTTATTAATATTCTTTATTTGTATTACAGTTGTAATCAAGGCCCAATAATCACCCCCACTCTCACTGTGCTCTGACAAATGACCTTTATTTGGCTGCCACTGCAATATATATCTGTAGCTGAGAGCAGCAGATGACCTAGTACAAGCTTTAGAATAAGTATATATGGGAGCTGCTGCAAACTCATCTTTTCTGTGGTAGCAGAGCTCAGCACTGATGATAAGAATGGAGGACAACAATTTCATGTTTATGAAACTACCTTAGGTCCCCTGTCGCCTCCTTTTTCTTTTTATAAGAACCACATTTTTGCAGAAGATTATCCCTAAATGCAAGTCTGTCTATCCTGAAAGCAGAGGAGGTCGGATTCATGGATATTCACTTTGCCTGAAGAGGTTTTCACCTCAAGTTACTGTAAATTATGCCAAGCAGTGACTTAACCTGTGTTCCTCAGAGCTTAGACCACTGCCTGAAACATTTGGTTATTGTCTTTTTTCTTCCTTCAGTTCTGCTCTTCCTTTTCTTATTTCTTCTCTCCCACATCCTACCAAACAACAAAAAATTCTATGGAGATTAATTAAGTGATTTCTGTGCCTTTTCTAATTGTTGTTACTGCTGAGAAACTTAGCAGATGTCTGAGGAAGTACATGGGCTGGTGGCTAAGGCAGAAAAACAGGTTTCAAAGGACTCAATTCTGTTTCTGGATACCTGGAAATCTCCTAAGTGTCACTGCTCATTAATTGTTCTCTGTCCTTTTCCACTCTCTGTTAAATGAGAACGGGGGGACTTCTTTCTTTATTAATTTATGATGAGATTTGTTATCTTTTCAGTTGTGGACACTGTTTATTATCTCTCTTAGAATTAGATAGACAAGTTAAAGTCCCCAGTGAAGGAAACTAAGTGGTTGGGGAAGATCATAAGCTTCATCATGTGAATGTGCTTATTTAATCTGAGGGAATCTCCTATAATAAAATGTGTATTAGATTATCCATGATGCTCACCACTGAATAATTCTGATCTTGCTGATGTGTAAGGTAAAACTGGATTAAGGCTAATGCCAGGTAGGTAGGAAAGTTCAACATGAGTGGAACGTGGTAAAACTGATTCCAGGAAACAAACCAAAAAAAAAAGGTCTGTTCAGCTCCCCTGATATGGAGGTTTGATGCCATTTAACACACCCTGAGGTCATTCAATTTAGTCTCCAGCTGCCACCTCCTAAGTACCCTGTGCAGTTCAGCTCTCCTAAAACTAGACACACAAAGGTAGGCCAGCTGAATATTTAATTTTCTAGGCTGTCATATTGGCTTGACCTGCTCCAAAGGTGATGCAAGTGTACACACCTCATCGACGTTTAGAGAGCAACATGTAGATACTTGCATTTACACTTCTTAGCCTGGTGATGGATTTCACCCCAAATGTTTGAATTGATGTATTTTAAATAATCAGGGCTTAAAAGTGGTTCCTGCCAAAGAGAGAAAGTTTGATTCTGCTCCAACATTTCCTGTCCCTCGCAGTGACCTGAACCAAACTCAGTTTATAATGGCATCTGAAGCCAGGTGAGTTTCCAATAGCTCTAGGCTTGCAAATGTCATGCTGCTCTGCTAATTGCTTAAGCAGCTGTACTTTTATATCTTCTATCATTTCTGAAAAGGTAATCTATTTGAGCTTGGATTTTTAAACAAAGAAGCTAAGAAAACAATAAACTCCATTTTCAGAGAGGAGTAGACAGGTGTAGGAACAATAGACAGTAGCAAATACGTAAACAAAACTCCCACCATATTGGGAGGATAAAGAGAAACAAAAATGACTGATCCAAGGTTATGATTAACCATTGAATTATTCGTTGTTGCTCTTGTTATGTCAGAAATTATGCGAAGGTTAAGGAATAGTAGAAGAAATAAAAAGTAGGATAGAAATAATATAGAAAATTTGGTGGAGGAAACTGATTAAACCTTGCGTTGGTAAGTATTAGTTATTGTTCACGGTATGAGCCCTCAAATTTCAGAGCATAAGACTTTGAGTAATAAGGCTGTGGAAATTAGGAGTGAACTCAGAGAGGAACTGACAGTGAGGTTCCTGCATCACCTCATTGCTGACATCAATCAACAGCACATTCAAAATTTGCTATGAACACTAATTCAACACAGTTTAGAGCTAAAACAAAATATATTCTCAAAATACTTTTATTTTTCTCTAACAACCAGGGCCCTTTAAACAAAAGAACCCAGCAACATGCCTGTCTCATGGAAACAGGGAGATAAACCCAGTATACAGCCTAAAGGAATCTCCCTGTTTCTGGATCTTTCTTGTTGTCATCTGTTGGTCTTGATGCATTGCTGAATTTTTCAGGTATTTAAGCTGCATAGCACCACTGATTTCAGAAACTTTACTGCAGCGTGTTTCTAGCGTAAAATGGCAAATCAATTTACCAACAGTTGCAAATTCTTTTTTGAATTTGTATTAAATCTCTATCCCATTAAACTGGGAATATATTTAATTACTGTCCTCTATTTGCACTATTTTAGACAGGCAGTAACAGTCCAAATATATTTCTTACCAAAAATGAAAAAAAAATTAAGTATTAAAAAGATGGGTCATGTAGATTCTGCAATTTAGTCCTAAAGATTGACCTTTTTCAGTGCTGACTGTTTTCCAGGTCCTCTGTACATCATTCCAGAATCTTAAAGAGACTCCTACTATAATATTTAGCATCTCTTGCTGGTTTTGAAGTAGGGGTCATTTTTAGGGAAGGGAGGGTTTTGGTAGATTTTTTTTTTTTTTTTTACATTTTATTGTCTTGACTCATTATAAGTTGTAAGAAACAATGAAAGATATGAGTTCAGCAGCCAGAATCTGCACAGATAGCTCTTGGACAGTAAAGTACCTGTTTCTGCAAATTGGCTAGATTAAGGGCTCAATTTCCATTTTAACCGAGAACGTGGAGTATTTATTTGTGGAAATACCCTTTGGCTTATCAAAAAGAAGGTTAACAGGTGGCTTGATCTGAGAGTATCTAAAGAGCGGCTAGAAGAGAGCTCTTTAATCAAGTGGCCAGACACGAGCCAAGATCCAACAGCTAGAAATTGAAGATAAAATTAAATGGGAAATAGATGCCGATTTTTACTCTGGAGGGTAATTAGCTGTTATTTGCTGGTGGTTATTAGATTACAGAAAAGAGGCTGATACAGAAATACAAGACGGTTGAAGTTGGAAAAGGCCTCTGGAGAACGTCTTGTCCAAGCCCCTTACTCAAAGAGTCATCTACAGGTTGTTCAGGATTGTATCCAGATGCAACTTGAGTATCTCCAAGGACAGGGACTTCCAATGTGGGCAATCTGTTTAGTATTTGACCACCCATGTAATGAGACTGTTTTTCATACATTTAAATGTAATTTTCTGTATTTGAATTTGTACTCTCTACCTTTTGTGCTGTCACTGAGCAACAGGGAGGAAGGTCCAGCTCTGTCTTCTTTACTTCCACATCACGTATTTCTATACAATGGTAAGACCCCCTTATTCTCTTTCCAGGTTGAACAGCTGAAGGCTTCTCAGCTTCTCTTTATCTCCATCACTTCAATTTTTCCCATCAAGAGTAGAAGTCTTTCCACTAGGATGTGCTCTAGTTCAACCACAAAATATCAAGCTTAAATGAATGGTTATAAAGAGAGATTTGTCATGTAGAAAGTCAGATAACTAGAATAACACATTTTGCCATTAAAATCTTTAGACTAACACCTTTGCCTTTCAGAAAGAACAACCTTCGCTGAAGGTACTGATGAATTTTCTTTCTGCCTCAGATAACTGTGATTTTCAATCACAGGAATAGAATTATAAAATCCAAATAATTTTCTGGTGGAAAAAACCCCGACACAACATTCTTTTTCACCAAATATTTAATGACTTGTTGGGCTGTGCTGTACTTACAGTCTTCTCCTGCCCTACTGCCGCTTGAGAATGTTATAGATACTTATTTCCCTCCTGGAGACACTGGCATTTTAGATTTTGTGGGTCAGCAAAAAGGCAGTGACATGGCAGCAAATCCTAGACAATTATTGCCTTTACCTCCCATTAGCAATGTGGTTGCAGCAGGACTGCACAGCTTGAGATGCTTTACCAAATTATTTTCAAAATGTGGATATTTTTTTGACACGACTTATTTCTTTGCTTGAGTAGGCAATCACCTTAGGATCTATCACTTTCCTTGGCACACTGTTAATGCTATTACATTTCTGATCTTCCTGGGGAATTTTTCCTTGGTTTTTTTTAAACCTTTCATTGGAAATCAAACTCTAGATTTAGTTCATCAGTATATTTTGCTGAATCTGTTACCCTTCACCCATTGTATTCCTCTGAAAATGATCTGGGATTAATACAGGAGCTGGATCACAGAGTTACTTGCATAAATCTACTTCATATAGATAAAAATTGGAGAATTCATTGGTAAAAAACTCTGAGGATGGTGTTTAATTCCAGCAGAGCTCCAGCTACTAGGATGCTATGAACTGGCATCTCTCTGGAGGAGAGGAAGGTGAACACCATCATGAGGAAGGCCATGCACGGACGAAATGTGCCTCTTCCTCATCCACCTAATTCACCCATTTTGGTCTTCTCAGCTTTTTTTAAAGGGGTGCAGAAACCAACCATGGGGTCTGGATACTCCAGGACTGTCCTAAATGGGGACAAGATACAAGGAGCAGTAGGGATCCACTTGTTCCTCCAGTCTTTATGCACTGTGTAGATGGCTCGTGCTTGCTCAGTCTCTGGATGTGTGCTGTTCTCTGGCTGCCTCCAGGCTCACACTGCTTTGCAGCTGGCATTATTTCTCCCTTTAGCTTTGAGTTGTCTCGGTGTAAAAGGGTCTTGAGAGCCTTTGTCTTTGCACTGTTAGAAATTAACACGTTGGGAAATGAATTACACCGCCCGCCAGCTAAATAAAAACACAGACGCCTCTAAGAAAGTCATTTATTGATCTTTCTTTTGTTAAAGTAGATTTCAGGGTGCAAAATACTAACTCAGCTAAATCAATATCCCTTTCACTACCAAGTTGACTTTAAGATTGTGGGGATATTCTGAAGAGTGGAGTTTAATTTCAAGGCATGTCCCTCAGAAATCACCTCGGTTAAAGCTACAGGACAGGTACTAGGCAAACCTGGAGGGAGATTCTAACAGTAGTGTGTGGATCTTCCACATGTGATTCAGTAGGATCTCAATGACATATGAAGGCAGAGCAAGATATATTTGCTGAAAGCTGAAATTGTTTCCAAGTACAAAACAATTTCAAATCCCTTATTAAAGAGTAAAGTTGCAAATTCTGGTTTAATAATTTTTCCTTATCTGAGTCCTCGACTGCTATATATCAGCATAGCTTTACTGAATTTAGTGGTGTTTCATTTTGGTCCTCTTTTTGATAGCAAGAAAATAGTTCTAAACATATCTCTGAATGAGAAGTCAGCTAGATGTTAATTTATTCAAAGTGTGCATTTTAAAAGTCAATTTTATAGGAATTTTAAAAAAATCTTTTAAAAATAATTAAAAAGGTATTATTTTAACTATACTAAGGGACTGCTGTGTGTCAGCTGTGACTCATCTTATGGTGATGAGCAGAACTGTAAAATGTGAAGTAATAATGCAATATACTGGAAAACAGTCCAACTAGAGAGAGGGGAATCAAGAAGTAAGTTGTTGCAGTGCTTTTTTTCCTCAGCAAATTATCCTACTATGCCTGGGAGAATTAAGAAGAGCAATCTAATCACCCTTTCTATTTTATTCTTTCCTACTCCATGATTTAAAAATTCTCTGCTTTTTCTGTTGTTTTTTTTTCCTCTTCTTCCCTGCAAGGAAAGTTTAATGAGGCATATTTGCTTGTTTCCATGGTATTTCAAAGAAAGATTACTAGCTGAAAGCAAAGAAATATATAGAATAAAGCAGAGAATGAATGTCTTGTCTTTAGTAACAGATATAAACCTTACTTTCAGAATTAATTATATAGAAATATTTTTTCTACACTTGTAATAAGTGAAGCCATGTCAGTCATTTTTTTACTTTGCTGTAAGGTCTGATGTTACACAGAAAAAATTATTTGCTACCCAGTATCTCTCTATTCGTTGGTCGGACAGACATACACATATATGGTTTTAAAGAGCCATTAAAAACAACCTTTGCTATTGAAATATTTCAGAACTAAGTGATGAACAGTGTTCTGTTTGCACTATTGATACAGTGCAGGGCTATATTATGCAGATTTCATTTATTTATTGATGAAATCCAAATTTAACTCTGTGAATAACACCTGGCCAAGACAGACAAGAGCACTCCTGTGCACCTCCCAAGCAGACCAAAGTCCATAATTCCTGGTGCACACAGTAAATTCCATGTGTCTGGTACGATAGTGTTTGCACAAATGCAGACAGGAAAATGCAGTTATCATTAAATCCAAGTTTCATTAAAATCAGAGACAAAAGTCCATGAAGCTCAGGGAATCTTGCATATTGCTCTCACTTATGATCAAAAAAATTATCCTTTGTTATTCTTATGCTGTTAATTATTTGTTTAATTTTTAAAGGGCTTGAAAGCTCAGAGGATGG